TCTTCTCTGAAATTTAAGTTACTTTTTTTCAGGTAATCTTACTACGGAGCAGATCACAGAGGGTTACACATGTCTGAGAGAGATAGAGGAAGCAATAAACACAAATAAATTCGGAAGTCGTTTTTACGAAAGTGTCAACAAGTACTACACCCATTCCTCACGAATTTTGCAGGTCATGTCTTTTCTTTTTAAATTTAATTTCTTATTAACCCATAACGGACGGCGTGCGCCACAAGGTGGCGCACGACTATTTCTTTTGTTTTTGGAATGTTTCTAGCAATCTTAATATACCCATATATACTCTCAGCAATGTGGAATAACATATCTTCCCAGGACCTGGACGGCTGGATTTTTGACAAACCTACAATAAATTTTACATACATTTTGTCTTAATTTACATAAGTTTACTATTTGATGGGTGGCTTACCCATGGTTCGCACGTCCCGAGACCCCTTCCCCTAAATATAGCCACATCCTTGCTCGGGGTTGTTGTTTCGCATTTTTCGATAATGTCACCTACAGCTTCCATTCATTCTTTGCACCCTAGTTTTAGAGCGGAAAGGCGGGCTACGAACTTGTCGTCAACGGAAATCTCTTTTTTCGGATGATGAGACTCCGACACCTACTTTAGCCCCGTCTTACCCCTGCTGTTCACATAAGCCTACATAAACCCTACCCTGGGTGGCGGCGTGCGCCACATGGTGGCGCACGCGAAAAATACACTGGCCGTCCGTTATGGGTTAAAAGGTAATTGTTGCATTTCGGGCTTTTTTCAAGATTTCGTCCACCACCTTTGATTAGAACACGTGAAGATTTAAAAAAAGAATTACTCTTGCTCGAAACACTCAAGGATATTCAAACGTCTTGCAAGAATTCTTCGCCACGCTCGTGATTAAAAACGATGGCAGAGCTGCAATTGATAGGTTCTATGATGAGATGCACTGTGATGTGCGGCCACTCGAACGGTCTAATAAAGAGTTCAAGGTAATCTCCGCAACGCGAATTCGTACCCATTTGTTTTGCCTTTATTTGCATAAAATGATTCTTTGGACTGCGACATTTCCGTGATGGGCAGGCTTGAAACAATATCCATGCGGATTAGGGTTAGCGGGCGGGCTCCGCGTTAACCGCAAAGTTGATCTCACTAAGTGGACCACGGCTTGGGCTGGTGTCCCCAAGGCGTTGGGGCTCAGTTTTTGAAACTAATGGGACTCCCTGTTCTTGGGCTCTCTGCCACCCGTTCTTGCGAATACTGATAGGCAGTTGGCGGGCTTGCTCCTCTGCTATGTTGTCTCGCCCATGGCATCCATTGTGTTATCTGTCTGACTGTTTGTTTATAAATTTGTTCTCAGCTGGAAAAGGAGGCCCTTATTCCTGGTATCTCGGGGATTTCTTACTTATTTTCCTGCTGCCGGTCCTCTTCGCGGCCTTCCGCTTTTACTGTGTCCGAGGCCCGCAACACACCAAAACCTAACTGATCATAGGGAATGTGATTTGAAAACTGGTACAATTTCATTATTTTTTCAGTGGTTGAAACTTGAGGCATGTTTTTCAGATTTGTCTCTACAATTACTTGCTAGTTCTCACGGTATGCGTATATTGTTTTCCATGGAACTACCAAGATTTACTCTTATCCACAAAAGAAGAGGCAAGATTCGAGCGTTGTTTCAAAAGTTCGTTCCGGCGGTAACAGTACCATTTCTTCAGTTCGGTCCTCCAGGGTCAATTGTCCGGTAGGTACTGGTACTAAAAAATAGCGTCATCGGCTTGCGTGTGATAGCCATGAAATTATTAATATCTATCGAAGGCAATCCGCTACCTGACCATTGTACTTCATGTGATCCAGGGAATAGCTCTTTTATAATAGCATGTAGCTTGCATTAGGGCGATCCCAGACTTTTTGTGTTTGGGAGCAAAAACTGGTTTCATTCACCATACAACTGGATGAAGGAATCGAAGAAACAGTCAAGCACTGCTTCTAGTCTAGTATAACTATGCTTTCAGAATGCTATTGTGGCACGGCTCACGAACAAGCAATTTCTACAATATTCTTTCCCAAGGGCTTCGCATAGCTCCTCCAGAAGTTCCTTCCACAGGTTTGTGTTTGTCTTATAGAAGATTATTATTGGCAGCTATGAGGCAAACGCCACCTCTTTCATTCGAGTTAACCTGGACATCCTTTCGCTGCTGGAGCACACCCCATGCTCGTATTCATATTCTGCTTTGAGTTTCTGAGAAGTGAATGTTTAATAATCTCATTTTTAGGATTCATGTTTGGAAAAGGCATATATATACTTCGCTGATGTTGCAAGCAAATCAGGGAACTACTGTTATCCTGCTAAGGGCAAATGCGCTCTCCTGATGCTGTCGGAGGTTTGTTATGTTGTAATCTGTGCGTTTGCAAATATCTTCTGTAAAAACTTGATATCCTCTATTTGTTTTTTTTTTATCTCGAACACAAAGTTACCGTATTATTTTTGAGGCCATTTCTTCTATATTTGTCAACTAATTGCGAACTTAATTGTTCGAATTAACTCGAAACTCCTCCCCATGTCGCTTGCTCGTTCATTGTTAGTAGACGCTGTCAGGTTCTGCTAATATCTCTCGGAACTATTTTCGGAACACTTTGTTCATTAGACGTTGTTTTCAGGTAGCTTTGGGAGAGCCGCAGATTCTTCGAGACGCAAATTATTCAGCAGATAAATTGGAACAGGGAAAAGACCAGCCCTTTGGGATTACGCGAATAGTTCATTGCCTAGCGAAAGGCAACTTTATGGACAATTGGTAAGTGAAACATGACGATTATTCTGATCAGTTACTTCATTAACTCGACCTCATTCTTCATACAATTAATCCAATTATTAATTACAATGCATAATTATGAGTGGGGGAAACATAACAAATAATTAGCGAGCTCATAAAGGCTATCCAAAATTCGTTGTACAACAAGTCGAAACACATAAGCACTGCCTCAAATGTGTATCGCTCTCCAAACCCGTAAGTGTATCTAATACCCAACCCTCTCAGAATTGCTCGCTCGTTGAATCCCATTCCAGAAGCGCGATCACACTTCCTTTCTGAAAAGTGAAATACGCTAATAAGGAAGAAAGGTGATTGGCTCATTTGTCATTTTCCTGATAGGGTAAAAGGCAAGTAAAAGGAGCAGAAGTGGTGCAGTGGCAATGGTGCTGGTTACTAAGCCCAGGGTCCAGAGATTAAATCCTGGGATGCATGCCGTTCAGCCCAATCAAGCTTTCCCGCTGCGCAATATTCAGCTAAGACTTTGGTACGGATTTGTTTTGGGATGGTAAAAAAACCCTGATTTTGTATCGGAGCCATTTAAGAGGGTGAGCCTTTACAGCACTTGGAACTCACATAGGTCTTGAAGGAATTGGGACTTCTTAGCCTGCCGAGGGAAGGGGATTTGTGATTGAGGTTCTTGAGCGATAAGTGCTTTCCCTGATGCTTCTTCCCTCTCCTGGGCCTGCCTTAGTGTCATCTATCATCGGGTCTCTTTTGTCTTTTGAATATTTCCCCCCCCCCACCTGAGGCTATGAGCTCCCTTGGACCCCTTACAGCGCATTTTTTGTCATAGTGGTAGTACCCATTTTTTTCGAAAAACGAGAAGAGCGTCGAGTGCAGGAGCCACATGGCCACATTTACGACTGCCAAGAATCAAAAGGGAAAAACCACTTTTCTTGGCCGTCACTTGGTGGTGTGTGGTCTGCACTCGACAGTCTTCTCGTTACCCGAAATAGAGGGTACCTCTGCAGGTTGGGGATGCCTCATTTACAGGAGGGATTAATTTTATGAAACTGGTCGCGGAATGAGTTTGTCAAAAGTTGTCAAAATGTTGCCATGAATCATTTCCAAAATGAGTCACTTGAATGAATGTTATAGATCTTGTATGCTTTTTTTTCAGGAAGACAAGAGCTTCGTGTTTCGCTGTTGGGCCATTGGAAGATCAACAAGTTTAGGATGGAAACACAGTATCCTCGCTATAAATTGAATTACGTTGTGCTTACGACTTTTTGCGCACGAAGTAAAATCGGCGATTAATTTGTGGAGTGAAATTTGGACATGTGATTAGCATAGTTTCTCAATGTTTCACTAATTTTTGCGATTTTAAAAAAAAAAATTTTTTTTTTCCCATTTTGGGTCGTGAGTCGTGAGTCCACGAATGCGGCGTCGCGCAAAACGTTTACCGTACGACTCGCGCGCGCGGCAACATTTGAAGTTTCATTTGAATTACATCGAACATCGCGCGCTACATTTTGCGCTGCGCCGAAGGAACGTTGATGCTAACGAGAACTGCCTATTCTTGCCTGTATAAAGTCTCTGTGTCTCTTGTTCAGGAGAATAAACTTTGAAGCAACCAAAAGAAGCATTGAAAAGTAAAGAATTAAAGGCACAGGTCCGCAAAACCGAATTCGTACTCTATTTCAAAAATAAGACAAGAAGTACGAAAACGAACGTTACTGAGGAAAAAATGCAAGTGCCATAGGGAACACTGAAATTTTGATGTCGACCGTGACGATGGAGAAAGACACGGCTGCGAGGAGAGGGAAAACGTGAGGGTGCACGTTGTAGGCGAGAGGTATGTATTCTATCGCGCCAAGTATGATGGTATTAATAAAAATGGTAGCGGTCAAGTGAAGGCATTAGTTGTAGCGCAGTTTCAAGTCGCGATAGAACCACCTTCTCCTTGGTTAGAGCCCTGCTACCTCAGTCATAGAAGGTTCAAGTGGATGTCATAATTTTTGTAATGGACAGGTTCAAACTTGTTGTTATGTTGTTTATTTTTAGAGTATTTATGTTTTTTTTTCAAGAATTGTTTTGGGTGTTTTTTGATGAGTCATTAGTCCCGTGCTCTAGTTAGGAGAAAGGTGATCGGGAGAGATTTCCCTATAAGGGTTCTGCTGCAATACCTGCCTTTGAAGGACTCGAGAGGCAATCCGAAAGTTTATTCAGATGGAACCGTAGTTCAGAGTAGACGGGTGCAGTATGCAGTCAGGTGAACTTTTCAGAAATTAGGAATTCGGCTGGAATCAATTCCCAGGATTTTGTCAAGGTGATTCACAAGTCGAGAGAGTCGGTCAGGAGGCTCAGGTTGGGAAGGCGCGGCCAAAGCGGCCAAGCGACAGGTGTCTCGCTAGCGCTACATCGTTACACACACGGGGCCGGCCTTCTAACACAATATAACGTGGCCCTGATCGACACTCTAAAAAAGCATGTGTAAGCACGGAAATTATGCAGTTTTATAGGAAGCACTGAGAGCCACGGATCTAACTGGGGCCCACAGCAAGGAAATTCGTTGCCCCTACCGCAGATATAGTAGTTTTTAAGCTGGGGAGACAAGGGGTACGCTGTGGTTTACCAGGGCCCACCGGGTCCCACGGTAGGTTACACAGTAAGAATACAATACGACGAAATAACAGCATGGCGCTGTCTTGAGTGCGGACGGTAGCGGTGTGGTGCCCCCCTCTTCTGTAACCATCCTGAAACCTCATCGGGCCAACGTTCATTGGTTTGCCGGTTTTAAGGTGAACGCTATCAGTAATCGCTAAAACTCACTGAAGCATCAGCTATTGGGGGATGTTGTCTTCAGAAATCTCTTGGAAACTGTATCAAGACTCTTTTCTATCATCTTTAGAAGTAAATAAATATTATGGTAGATCACGTTGAGTGTTGGTCACTGCCTGAAATCAAAAATTGGACCGCCCGTCTTGATTGATTCAGCGGCTCCCGCCACTGCGGGTGGTATCATTCTTTTATATTGTCCTATTCAAGAGCTCTTGGTAACATTCTTTCTCCTTGCGGTGCCGAATCTCACAGTCGTATCACGGACGACCAGTGGGAGTTCCGATTTCAACAGTTCTTAGTTGGACCATCTCTTGAATATTGACATTCCATTGCTGATTTTTCATTTCCGAATTTTTCGTCGCTTCCATGGGACCTTAATTTCTTCAGCAAATCACTGGAATGTCCTCATGAATACTCGCTCCCTCATATTTCTACGCTGATGACAAGAAGTCATTTCATCAGTCTATTGTTGTTACAGGACTGTTTACGGGACAATCTACATGTGGTTGAGGGGGGAGGGGACATCTGAATGACAGCCAGCTACTCACAGCACTTGGAACCAGGGTCAACCCTACGTTGTTACTAGTAACAACGGGGGGTCGTACTTGGTTGAGTTTGTAGGAGAGGGGGGGTCGTACCCGTTTCAGTCGTTTGAAATCACATGTGCGTGAGTTTGAGGTGAAACTGTTGAGGGGCGTAGAGAAAAAAGTTAAAAAGTTGCCGTTTCAGCGCGCGCGTAATCCTCCCCCGATTGTTTTAGGAGGAAAAGGTGGGCGGAGTTGGGTGGGGGTTGAGCGTTGGTATAGAGAATTAAATTAGGTAATTAAATACTATGGAGGCCATGGGCGGCTTGACTGAACTGTACAGGGGGTGTGTCAACATCCACCAGGGGGAGGCGGTCGTTAAAATTGGTTCAAAGAAAAGTACCAACGATAGGGCTCACCCTGCTTGGAACTAATGGTAAGCTCTAGGGGGATGAGAGGTATCCACGTCAGAACTGAATCATTTGTTCACTCTAACGTTAGCCCTTCTACTAGCTTCTGTCCTATTGTCAACTTCCATCGACACTGTTTCGGTTGTATGACATCTAATCCTTTTTGGTGTGGAGAGGAACCTGGGGAGTAAGTAAGATGAGTGAGCAGGGGGGGCAATAGGGGTTTGGGGTGTGTGAGACATCAACGTGGCAAAGTTTGGGCCTTTGGGATGTCTGGTCTGGTTGCCTGTGTGAGGGAGATGCCACAGAGTGAGGAAAAAGGATTAGATGCTCCAAGACCACTGACGGTCGAATGTCTCTTCCCCTGTACTTTTTTATGATTATGTGTTTAAGAGAAAAATCAACTAAATTTCACTAGCGATTTGTGCGGTTGCATGAAGAGGCGCTGGGTGTACTGAAATCAAAGGTCGAGATCGACTTGCCATACGAATACTAGATTGGAACAAAAAATTTAGGAATTGCAGTTGAAGGGGAACACAAAAGCTAGCTTGAAGCTCTTTCGCCGACGTAAGGGCTCACGAGCTTCTGGGCTTTTTTGAGTAAACGGTTGCTGTGGAAAGTTCAACGGATGACGCGAGAGAGGCGGGGGGGGAGTGTTGTATTCTGAATTTAAAAGCAACAACCAGGAACGAATCGCCGTGTTAAGGTAACCTGTAGGACGATGCAGGTAGTTTGGTACAATGGAGAGAAAAAGTTAGAAAAAACGTCGGGACAGAGGGACTTGCATCCCATGCGTTTAGGGAGATGTTGTGCTGCTGTGTGGAGGTTGTCCGAACCTGCCCGTAGTACATGCGCTCCTTAATTGCAACTGCTGGCAAATAGCTGCATGCTTGCAAATACATAACTACTTGCCAGCAATCGAAATTGAAGCGCTTCAATTGCGTTCTTATGGAATCGACCTCATACAGCGCGGCGGTCCCGCAACGACCGCTAGTCAAGCACGGACTCTGCACAGCGTATGTTGGGCGATCCGCTCTCTTTATGGGTGATCCGCCCCCTCCAAGAGGACTTCGACCCCTTCCAGCGCATTTTAGAGGTAGGTTTTGAATTAAAGACATTTCCTATAAACTTTAGTTGGGCTGGGGCATGTTTTGACCGCCTAATGACCAAGTAGTTGAAACCCTGCCTGGACTGTTGCTTTAATCTGGACGGCCCATATTTGGACAGCTCTTGGTATGAAGTTGGATGTGTAGACGGACAGTATTGCTTGAACCAACCAAATGTTCGGGTTGCCTGCATCATGTCGGACCTGCTCGGCTATTTTGGGGAATTTGGGATTGTGGAAGTGTGTCAAAGGCAGTGGGCGATTCAGCGAATACCGCCACATTCTTCTTGTAAGGGGTCGCGTCCTAACTCAACGGTTTCTCTCTCGAAATGGCCGGAGTGCAGGTGCGGTGTGGGGAGGATTGGTTCTAAGAGACAACGTCTTCTCTAATATTTGGCCATGTATGTTGTCATTTTTTAGGATTTTTTGTCAAAAGCTTACAATTTTCTGTTAAAAAACATTGACCACCGTTTGATCTAGCCACATGACTTTTCATCTTCATCAATCAAAGAATGTGGACTCGGTCGCATGGGCAAGACACGGGGCTTATGCGATGAGAAGGTATTTAAAGGCCGCGGTTAACCATTAAAAGGGAAGTAGCGGACAGTTTTCAGTATTCTTTCTGCCATTACTTGCTTGCTCCTGGGGCTTTATATGTAGCGGTCCCATATTGCGCGGATAGTGCAGCACGAAACCCTTCTCAAAAAATACGCAAGACGATCCGTTTGGGATCGGCTGTCGCCACGTTAGCCGGTAGTAACCTTTCGCTTGCTATCCACAACCTTAGAAACCATCAGCGAGTCTAGATGGTCAGCGTGCGGTATATTCACTAGTAATTCATATGTTAGACGCAGCCGATTAGATGTTTTAAAAATGTTTAGATGGAGGATAGTGAGGGCATGCTTTAATGTACACCCACTAGCAGCAGAGACAATCCAGACAAAAAAAAAACGTCAAGAGCCCACGGGTTCCGTCTTCTTTACCGTCCAGTTGTAGCTACTGCAAGATACGGTTAACGCTCGTCCAAATCACTAAACTAGTGGGCGGATCGCTTTTGGGGGCGGAGTGCTTTCGAAGTCCTGCTCAGCAACCAGCGCACCTTTCGTCGTGAAAGCGCCACACCTCGCTTCCTGGCAGCCAAGTAACTGCTTCGTGTGGTGCATATGCTTCCCCGATGTTTCCATCTTTATCGTAGTCACTTTTTTAATCACTAAATAACTGTCACGGCAGATCACTTGCTGAGTTTCAGCATTGTTCGAAATCAAAAATTATACCGCCCGTCTTGATTGATCCGGCCACGCCCACCTCTGCTGATGGCTTCACCCTTCATTTTCTCATCTTTCTTTTTTCATTTT